GGGATTTATTTAGCCTTGAAAATTTATAAGAGGCTAGTCCACAACATATTTACATTACGAGCTAACGAGATCTCCGCATATAGGATTATGTCTCTGACTTGTCCGTCAGCTTCTTCTGCTTCAACCGCTCCAGCTCTTCACGATACATGGCTTCACGCTCTTCTGGTGGTGCGAGGAGCTGAAATATTTATTTTGAGCTCCTGTTCGACTTGGAAAGCTTCGTTGTGGGATGTGTTACACTATAATTCGCTATGGATATTGCAACAAAGAAGCTAATAACTAATTATAACAAGAAGTTTGAGTGCAAAATAAAATTCGACGGAGCAGCTGCAATATCATTGAAGGCACTGGTCGGGATCGAATCGTCGTGTTGTTTTGTTTGAAATTAGAATAGAAATGCGATAAAGATCGTTGCTGGGGAGAAAAACGCCATAGAAAACACTGAAATTTCCCTTGTGAGGTCGGCCGTGGTATGACGGAGAGACACAGCGCTGCGAGGAGAGGGAAAACGCGAGAGAGCACGTCGTACGCGAGAGGGCGCAGACGCCACGTATGCCTGCGATTGATAAGGATGGCAGCACGGCAGCACACAAGGCAAAGCCTTAGCGCCGTTGCCTCGCACTTTTGAGTCGCGACAGTGGGACTTCTTTTTGATACTCCAGGTCTTGGAGACCCCTCCTTCTCGCTCGAGGAGGAACTGGCTGTTAGCACCTAATCCTGACCCGTGCCTTCAAATGTATATGTCTGTGGCACAAAATCCAGCTCCCAGAAACTTCGGGTGCCTTTTGTGCGCTTCAGCGGCTGCACGCGGCACACATACCTTCTAGGACGAAAAATTGTCCGAGGTAGAGGAGAAGTGGAACACCCAGACTCGACATCCGATTACCTCCAATTCAAAAATTGATCAGGAAGTCGAGCTCATTCCTCGTATCCCTTTCTTTTCTTCTGCGGACATGCGCACATTTATGCCAAGGAAAGATGTCCAGGAGGGGGACAAATTTGATGATAATGACATCTACCTCCATGAATTTCGAAGAAACTACTACGGTAGGTGATAACTTCTCATAAAGTCTGTTTTGACCCTCAAACAAAATGGCTCGCAAGTAAAATAGACTAAGTTTGTAGGTTGTTGGGGAGCGCAAGAGTTCCTGAATATATTTCCACTGAGCCTCGTCGGAAGGCAAATCAGGCTTACAGCGCGGATTTATCATGAAAGGCAGCACATTAGAAACCAAGGAGAGGTGGTCAATTATGCATGAATGAAGAAAAAATGAGCAGAACGGCTGCCGTGACTTCGTACGACTAAGCTAAAAGTTCGCGTCTGATAGGGTGTGCGCGGATCCTGGCGAATCCTCGAATCCAAATCGAATTCCGTTTTATTTTAAAGCACTCACCCTTCTGCGAATTTTCTCGTAGTCTCCTTTCCCACTCCACATCTTCTTTATGAGATCTCCTGCGTGACTTATAGAGTCGTTGAGACCCATTAATAAAGGGCTCTCTTCAAGTGTATCCCATCCCCTCAAAAGATTCATCGCTCGACCGTACTCAGCGTCTGTCACCACCTGAAAGGAATGCATTCAGCGACAAGATACTGCGCCTGCAACGGCCCCACGTTCTCTCCAACAACAAGTAAAACGACAACGCTACAGTAACAAGCAGCAAGTTAACCAGGATATCCGAAAGAAGGCCTGTCGCGCGACAAGAAAGCAAAGACGCAGATGAGTAAGCGGACGAGTCACAGCGTGCATTGTGTGACATGGGACGTACTAGTCCATTCGAAATCACTGCAGTGGAGCTGCGACTCGTCCGCAGAACCGTCTCCGTCTCTGTCTCTCACCGCGCGATAGGCCTCTTGTCGGGTACTTAGTTAACCGTACCATATCATCCGGAGGGTAGAGACCTGCAGCAACGTAGCGTCCTTCTGCATTCAGAAAATTGAATGTAGCTATAGCGTCTTCCTGAATAGATAAAGTTAAACAAGATAAAGTGCAGAAGCTTGAGAAAACCGCGCCCTTACCGTATCAGAAATTTCAAGACCAATTCGGTGCTCTCTTAGAAAACCAATGATTTGTGCTCTCACTCTAAAAATAGATGCGAAATTAGAAAAAGGGTAGCGGAGCTTAACTAGAGCAAAAATTAAGGAAGTCCTTGAGTCTATCGACTGGACGAAGGAAAGCATTGGAAGACTCAAGTGTGCATATGTGGGAATGTCCAATCTTGTCGGGTAATTCTGCTATGGTGGTCCTAATTGTACTGTGGAGAAGGGGCAGGTAAAACTCGGAAGGCTAGGACTAAGCGCGGAAGTTTGAGATTTCTTCGTGAATTCTGTTTCAAGGATTCAACATAAGCCATAACCCGGTCGCGGAAGAAGAATCGGTAACGTTTACGTTTCATTTGAAATTAGGCCTATAGAAAGTAAATGCGTCGTCATTTAGCATGTATCCCTGTCAGCTTGAGGACCAGTAGGACAAAAAGTCAAAAACTATTTCATGCTGACCCATGCTTTACACCTGAACCTAGACTTGGACCACTAGAATCTACGTATGTTGTGCGGTTTGGAGCTAAAAGGCTCAATATTCAACAGTTGAACCACGAGGACTATGGATTCCATCTTTTTCCGGATCTAAACCTCACGGCAGATGTAGATTCTTCTGGACCAAGTTCAGGTCACGTGTAAACCACGGTTCCATGAAATAGTACCACATCGTATACCTCATAAAAAATTAACCCACTTGTCAATATTTTTCTTGTCCCCAACTCCGATGACGAGGATGTCAATTTTGGGTTCCAACATTGCGAACAGACTGAGGGATCGCGGTGTGATTTCATCCGGAGTCTGAACACGCCAGGACAGCGCAGTCTTCGGGAATAACGCCACCGGTCCATATCTAAACAAGATCATGAAGACCTTTAAGGGCTTCCAATTCTAGACAGAGAAGCACAAATAAGCAGCCACTCTATGCTTAAACTCACAGGAAACTCCCGTCCATCAAACGGAATCCATAACATGATAGGGCACGAACTCCCATCTGATTAGCTTCTGTCATTTCCGTTGACAGAAAGCTTAATCTACTTCTTTGAGGCATATCCGAATCTCCTAATGGAGTTACGTGAAAGCCGTCCAACACACCTGTAACGTTAAGCATTGAGGTATAAGAGGCTCACTCAGGAAGAGGAGATAATGAAAAACGAACCTGTGTCACCTCTTCTGGAATCCGCATCAGAGGCCAAACGCCGAAGCTGGACAAACCTTTGTAACTGACGGAGATGCGAGCTGCGCATCTTACTGGTGGCCTTTACAGCTGTCAAGCCGTTAAGTCAGTTTCCTGAGAGATATCATTTAATTGATGTCGCAGGAGTGTTTCTTCTCTGCATTTTCTGTGGTTCGACAGGAATAACAAGCCTTAGTGATGAGTTATGAATTGAAGCAACAACCCCAAGTCAAATTGGTGGAGTGACAGCAATCGGCAATGATCGCATAGATGTCGAAGAAAAATGAGAAAAATGAGAATCATAGAGAAAAATGATCGAGAGCAAACCGCCGTAAGGATACAAGTTTCCCCCCTCGTCCTCTTTGAAATATGGGGGCGGAACCGGACGAGTTGTACGAACTTGCGTGCTCCATGGCTCCACTTGCCAGCGTGTTTCAAATTAGCCGCATTCACGCAGCGTGTCACAGGAATCTCGATCATATCAAATTAGTTGCCATAGGGTCACTTCGTAAGTTCCATGCGTCACTGTCACGCACTTTCGAAGTGCGACAATGAAAGATGTGTGATACTCGCGGGCTACTCCATCCTGCTTACAGAACAGATTGTTCCACAATACCTCACATTCCTTCCTTCCTGTTCTTTTAGGCTGGCGTTAGAGTTCGCGAACCATCGCGCGTTTCGCGCGAATCGTCCGACGGATCGCAAAATCGCAAATGCCCCGATCAGGGCTGCGAGGTGCTCTTCAATCCGGCCGCCATTTTCGCTGACGGTGATGTTGACAACTCTTGTGCTTTTTATATCAGTTTGCAAACGTTCAATTGGAGGCACTTAATTTTTCGATCGGGCACATGATCCCCAGACTCTACTACTTTAAACAGGACTAGAAAATCACTACTCGCATAACTAATATTTCCAAAACGAGATCCACCCTTTCATTCATTGTTCTTCGCGATGCGTAAAAAACGAGGGCTAAACTGCGTTTTTTTCACCGCTATGAGTTAGGCCTACATATAGATTGCGGGCCGCAGCCTTTTTCAGGTCATAATTTAATGCGTATCCGAAACCACTTGGTCAACGTTAGAGAAACGATCGAGTATTCCGGGAATTTCCCGTTTCTCTCGCCAAGTGCCGAGCAAAAGATAAAGATATTTTTATAGCGTACCCACATAATGCTATGTCACAGTTTTTCCCCCGAGTTCGAGAAGAGGCAATGCAATCTGAACCTTTTGCGAGGTCCAGAATTATATTTCGGATATGAATCCGCCCATGTCAATCGAGCTTTCCATTCCTCCAGGGCTAAATAATTGAGACCACTCTCGCCTGGAAGGATAAAACACCGACTCGTACACCTGCTGAGTTGAGCAAGTTATCGCATATAGAACCTCACATTCCTATGCTATTACGATACTGAATAGAAGTAGAGGATGTAGCGCATACGGAATAGGAATTGATGAGCACCGTGCTTCATTCTTGATATCATTCTACCAATCACATTTCGTGAAACCCAGCGTGGTAATGTGGCAGCCAGTTCGAGAGCGCGTGGCACAGCTCCGATGCTGACGAATGCGACATAAGCCAACCGGACGCACATGTCCTGCATCTACCTTTTTGGATCATGTTTGGGGTCAACGTATTGACAACACACCAAAAAATGAAAGACTCCTACGCAATGAATGTGTACATATTTCTGGAATTAACAGTTGTGCGAAAATAGAAGAAGATAGTAGTAGTTATTTATTCAAATGCAGAACTATACTCAGTAAAAGGCATGAACAAAATGCTGACAAGATGTGGTTGGCTAGAATGGAATCAAAAATCTGTGATACTATTCAATCGAATCAACATGTGAGCAATCAAGGCAAGTGAACTTCTGAATAAGTGAAATTAGAAAATACATAAAATTTCAAGGTTATGATCAAACACTGTCCGAGCTCAAGGCTTCATCACTTCCAAGATCATCAGTACCGTTTTTGTAGTTCGCCGGGGGTGTTGTATAGCCGGAGTTCACAGCTGAAGCAGGAGACGACGACTCAGCCTAAAATGACGCAAATTGAAAAGTTCAGAAGTTTCCAGAGACAGGAACTCTTGCCTGCTGCCGTTGCCAACTTGGGAGCTGTGCTGTCTTGGCTGTGGGAGCAATGATGGGAGCAAAATTGTTGTGACTCAGTAATAAGCTCTTTATCGTTGATATACCCTCCTGAAAACAGCTGTTTTTGAAGTACTACACATATTGATATCACTATGGAGAAAGTCAGATGGCAGCACCTCAACTCGACTGACATCAGCGTCACGATGAGTTACCGAAAGCAGCGCTCGATTGATTTCTTGCTGCTGGCCGGCAAGCATTGTTGTCGTTTGTGAGATACTATCCAACACAAACTTGATGGAATTTTGTAACTCATTGACTTGTACCTGAATTTTTTCAGCATCATGAACCTTCTCTAAATTTTGAGCGCGTGCTAGCGATATTTGCTCTTTAAGAAATGGAAGCATAAATAAGGAAATTCAGAAAGGAAGCGATGGGTAGGTTGAGAGACGCGATAGGTCAGGTCATCGTCGTCGCGTGCTCGGTATAGGGCACCATGGGAGCGGAGGAGAGACTGATTTCAATTGGTCTGGTCCCTTAGTTACCAATCAAACTCATCACACTTTTAAACCGCCCCATTTCCATGTTCTGGTTCCATGGAAGGATAAAGGATAAAGGATAAAGCATTTGCCGTTGATCAATCCCTTTTTGGGATGCGGCACGCATTCTACTTCCATTTGTACATTCGCAGTTCATTTTATTTTTGCTATATTACATTGTGTTCATGTAATAATAGAGATAAAGGTAAAGATTTGTATATTCGTAGTGGCGTTTGAATGCGATGTGGCCTATACAATGACTTGCGGGGGCCAGCCGATGTACAAGTCAGTGTTTTTATCCTCCCAGACAAGTCTGGTACCAATTAACCGACCCCGGAGGGATGGAAGGCTTGGTTGGCCCGGGCGACTCACGACCCAGGATTTGATCCCCGGACCGCTCGCGTGGTAAGCGTGCCACTTGCCACTACACCACTTCCGCCCGGTTCCATAGTGTTGAAATCTAATTCGACCAGTTCAAAAATCTGAGAGGACCATCTTAAAAACTGCCGTTGAACCCTTTCATGAACTCCCTATTTATGCTGACAGTAGATTTCAGCAATACTCCAATGACTGCTGCACTCTTTCAAGGCTGAATGGCCCCGACCGGGGGGAACGGAATAAACCCAAATCGGATTCACGGGTAACGTACTACTAAACCGCACTGCCTACTTCAAAGAAAGAAACTAACCTGTAGCTGTCGAACATCTTCGGTGGCGGGATCAGGAATGTCGAAGAAGCGAGGCAAAACAAAGGACCGCAGGAACCGGTAGCCAGCATATGATACAC